AAGGCATGGTGGCGCTTACCCGGTGACCTCACAAGGTCACTGTGATAATGTGGTAAGTGAAGTTGCTTTGAAAAACCACAAAGCACTCAGGATTTCTTGTAAAAAGTGATTATTCATACAGAGTTGCCCATAACCACTCTGGTTTCCACTGGAAGACCTGAGGAGCAGAGCAAGGAAGGGCCTGTGCAATGCCAGAGAACACACTGTAGGTGGCCTTTCCAAACAGCAGAGGGGGAATGCAAGTCGGGAAGAGAGAAGATCCAGTAGAATAGGACAGAGGACTTCTTACTTCCCTTGTTTTGCAAAGCATGGAAGGTTTTGGGGTGACTCTTCTTAGTATCTTTTGAACTCTTTGCACTGATTTCACAGGAGGTCACACTATAAAGCAGTTGTCTCAAACACATGAGTCGCTAAGATAGTAACTCTGATGTGCCAGTTCAACGAAGGAGGACAGCTTTTCATTTAAGGTTTCAATTCAAATAGAATGCTGATGAGGAGGGGAGCTGGTATCCCATCTGAGCTTTCTTTGTTTTGCAAGGGCTCCTTTTCATGTGTCCAAATTAGTACAATGGGGGTGGGGCGGGGTGTCAGCTTGTGCTCATCTGTCACTCTGTGCATCTCCCGGTTGGAGACATTTAACCCCAAGATGCAAATCATTTAATTATGCTGACTCAGCGGTGACCAAAAGTTGTGAACTCTTCCGGAGTCAGGAATTCCTAACCTGATTGTGGTAATGTATTTCCCAGCATGGACTTGAGGTGGAGTGAACCCAGGCTGGGAGGGGGAAGTTTATGTTCTCTTAAAGTGTCTGCTCACAGAGACAGACCCACCTTCCAAAGCCCATGGAGAATGAGGGATCCCAAATGCAACCCCCACTTCCTGACCCCACACACATAACTTTTCCTTTCTGTTTGTGCCATTAGGTCAGGAGGTTAATGACAATGCACTCTAAAATTATCAAGAGGATGAAGCCAGGCAAGATTATTAGATTTCCATTCAAGCCTGAATATGCAATTGGAACAAGAAAGAAAAAAAAAAAAAAACCACCACCAACCCACCCCAAAATAACACCAAACCCAATTTGCTTCACAATCTTGTAGTTCTTCTGCCCACATTTGCTGGGATAGGTCTGACTTTCAGTAAACCTGGGAAAGCAGGATCAGGATCCAGTTGGATCCCTGTTTAGAAATGAGGTGTTGCAAGCTCTGGGTGTAGTCAAAAGGATGAGAGTCAGAGTAATGGGGCATTTGGGACCAAACAAAGGCTGGGGTTTGAATTTTTCATCTTCCATTATGTATTTACCCCCTCTTTCTCATTCTCTCTCTTCTCTTATTCATCCATCTCATTATTTTTCTTCCTCACTCTATTCCCCCCTCCCCCAGAGTATTCTCATCCTTAAAGCTGGGCCCCAAAATATACAGTATTTCCTCTTAAAGTCACTTACAAATATTTATTTCCTAAGCACATTGCCATGGAAGGAAATACTTCATTGCACCAAAGTCTGCCAGTCTTGGAAAGTTGTTTTTGCAGCAGATATCGTGAAAGGATGCTTTGACTGAAGATGTCACTTGCCATTAACATCTGACTCTGCTCACTCATTCTGAAGGAATGGCTCCAGTGAAAGTCAATCGCTGCTGAAGACAAACCAACTGGAAAAGACAGTTTTTTTTAAGGTTTTCACAATGGCTTCAAAGGAAATGCACATTAATCATTTGTTTTGACCCAAGAGCAGCAAAACTTATTTTTGAAGACTTAAACAGACAACACAGATGTAAACAGAGATCTGAGATTCCCAAATGATTAACGCTGTAAAGAGTCAGTCTGAGAACACCAATTCTACTCAGCATTTATTTTCATTTAAAGATAGTGGAAATCATATAGAAATCACAGACAATACGAGTTCTTTTTGCCAGGCAATTGTCCACATGAGTCAGTTAATCTCTACGAACAGACACAGAATCCGCACTCCTCACTTATTGACAGGGGTAAGTTGTTATGCAAAAACTGGCGATATGCAAAATCCAAGGGTTGACCACATTAGATTATCACACAATTACCAAAAACACATCAATGCATAACTGCCAAAGGACAGGGAGTCTCCATGGTAGTGGTGCAAAGGAAGTCCAATTCTTTAAGAATTTGTAGGTAAGTCAGAACAGGTGCATAAGATTCTTATTTAGTCCAAGAAGGAGCCCTGGTGGCACAGTGGGTTAAGGGCTGGAACGCTAATGGGAAATCTGGCAGTTCAAATCCACCCTTCACTTCACGGGAGAAAGCTGAGGCAGTCTGCTGTTACAAAAATTTACAGTCTTGGAAATCCTCTGGGGAAGCAATCAATTTGGTGGCAGCGAGTGGGTTAGGGTAGCAAATGAAGGTGATTGTGCTAAAGAATTTGTTGTGAGGCAGGGTTGGTTCAAGCATATCAAAGTGAGAGCAAATCTATGTAACGCTACAGGCAAGCAGGAGTGGTCCTTAAATCAGACATTTTTAGCCCTTGGACTGCCTGTGCGTAACTGCCACGTGGTATCCTAACTGCCAAACGACTGAGAATCATGGTTCCACCACATAAACTTGACCATTACAGCCAGCATTGCTCTAACCTCATACCTCAGCACTGATTATTGCCAGATACAGGTCGTTGATGTACAAAAGCTTCTGAGAATACATTTCCTACAGTTTTAAAAGTGAAATGCTGGATGATGAGATAGTCCATAGGTGAGGAGAAGGCGTATTTTCCTTTCTTTCTTTCTTTTTTTTTTTTAATAGAAAGAGAGGGCAATATGGCAGTTAATTAGCAACCAATACTGTAAACTATAGTAGATAAAAAGTTTTGTCATATAAATTAATTGCCATTACAAAAAGGCAACTGCTTTAGCTAAGAAGGTACAAAAACTGGAAACTTCCATAAATATAACAAGAAGCTAAGTTACGAAATACATAACAGACTGTTTTTCCTAGATAATATTTGAATATGCAGGATAAGACACCTGTGGCACTTTACACACAAATAGGAATATCACACACACACACACACACACACACACACACACACACATCCAAGCCCCCATCCCTCCCCCAAACAGGGCATATTCTAGAGTGACAAGGACAGGATGCGGCAGGGAAGCAGGTTCGAACTGCTAGACAAAGAAGGAGCCTTACTGACAGTTGCAAAGCATTAGGCGTCAGACAGAAACTTGTCAAAAACAGCTGTTGTTGGGTACTGATTGATCATGTTTTCATTCTGACGGCTGAGACTCTGCAGACAGTCGTGGGTCTGAGAAGAAGCGCACACATGAACACACACACACAGACAACGGGAAGTCATTTAACAGATGGCTTGGAGCACTCAGCCACAGTATCTTAAAAAGACAAGAGTCTACATTTAATGAACGTGCAGGGGAAGCGATGCCTAGTAATCATTTATTTTTCATAGATTATGAGCACAACAGGACATGATAAAAAGCCAGGTTTGGCTATCTGGTCACTATAAAACTTTTGGGCTGCTCATGGATTACACAGAGTTAAACCATCTAAGGATTCAGGAGACTAACTTGCATATGAATCATTTAGAGATCTTTTTGATCCAGTCCACTTTTTTAAAAGCTTAAAGAAAGGTTCACTGTTTCAAAGGCAATGATTTCATTTAGACCCATCTATGAGATTAAACCACAAAACTATATTGGAAGAATGTTAAGGGTCTGATGTATATCTTTGGGAGGATTACAAAGTATTACATCACCCTGTAATGGAGCATGAGTGTGTGGTATTTGGGTACCAGTCTATACAACCCCGAAATTATAAACATGCTTTTATTGCTCACGTGTATGGAGCACTTTTTTTATCATTTGGCCACTTAGTAGTTCATGTGGTTGACAAAGTCTAGAGAAAAATGCCAGAGTATTTAATTCACAAACCTCAATATACAGGGATTATTCTTGATTTAGAAAAGGTCAGGGGACTGAATAATTGTAAAACTGTACATTTATCTCTATGCAATTTTATCAGTTTAATTAAATGGAAAAAAAATATTAGCCCCTAAGCTTGAAATTGGGGCAGTAAGATGATTTATTCATTGCAATTAGCTCATTTTTAAGGGCACATTGAAACCCCTGAAAATAGAGGTTTATAATAGAAATACTGATAGACCTGTAATTACTAGATGGAGACATTAACAGACTCCATTAAACTACATTAGCACTTAATGAATAAATATACAGATGATTCCGTCTTTGATATCTTTGTCACAATCTGTGCCAGTTTCAACTATACTTGGCGTGGCTGCTTTTAAATTTTCTTTTAAACCATTATTTTTTAAATTACTTTTTCCGTTTCAAACATTTAGGACATTTTTAAGAAAAGGTGCCGGTATTATGTTGCAACTGGATTTTATGCAAGTTAATTGTTCTGGTCCAAAATATTGAGGCCTTGATCAAATTATAATCAAGGGGGTATGCCTCTGCCTACACTCCTCCAACTCCTCTCAACAAGATGAAAATAATCTCTTCACTCACAAAGGAGGGAGAGGAGTCTTCAGATGTAATCAAGGAAATGCTCTGTGTCTTGTCTAGAAAGTCTTCGAAGTAATTCTTCCTACGTTACTCTTTCCTGATGGGGTGATTAAATAAAATTTATTTTTTGTGCTCATTTTTGTCTCCTAGTCTATAAGGTCAGTATATTTTAAAAATCCCCAACATATATATATATATAACATGAACCCCCTCACCCCTACAAGAGACTTTGGAAATGATATACATATTGTACAAAGTTCCAGCCACAGGACATTCCACACACACCCCCCCCCCCAACGAGCCCAGGGAAAATTAGTCAAGGTCTTGTGAGTCTTTTGGAGTTCTTCAGAAGGGATTTGATTTCCATGAGCCATGAATTCCATCCATTTTAGCACAGAGCATATAACGGATGCTGAGAACAGAAGGAAGAGAGATGCAGTGGAGATAATTAGTGGTAAAAAGAGAATAAATTCTCTCTCAGTAGTGTATACTTGACGTTAATGCCAATGATAATTCACCTGATTTACAGAATATTCACTTTAATAGAAAGATGAGAGTCTGAGTTAACCAGAGGGGGGGAAATATCGATACAGCCTGATAGAGTCTTAATACCAAAATAAAATGAAAATGAGAGACTAACATAATAGGCTCAAGGCCTGTTGGGAACCCGTTTGTTGTCTCTGCCAGATTTCACATTCTGACAGCTTCGTGGTCTTTTTCTTCTAACAAACTGATCAGCTGAGAGAAGCTATCTTTCAGTGAGTCCATGTCGTCCAGCGAGCAGGGCTGCAGGATCCAGCGTTTCCCACGTGCAAGTGGTTCAAGTTCAAAATATTTTTTGACCTTCAAGGGGGGCAAAAAAAGAAAAGAGAAGACAAACGTGTTATCAATTATACCAGAATCATCCTACCAAAATTTGCAGAGTGATGAAGTGGTGGATTTCGTGGAGAATTTATATGAACTGTGATGCCTGAGACTTCGTAGAATACCGTCCACAGCTGTTGTTATAATGTGGGTTATGTGTTGTGACCTGGGAGTGTTTTCTTTAGGGGTGAATGACTCGCTTGCAAGCCACCATTATATCCATACACTTAACAGCATGGGAGGTCTGATGAAGGCTAAGAAAGAATTACAAGCACTTATGGCACAGGGCAAAGCCCACTGCAGACACCAGAGAGATTCAATCCAGTCAAAATGCCTCGAGTAGAGCAGCTTTCCATACTTTATCATGCTGACTTAGTAACAACCAACAGAATGTACCCTATCAATTATTCAGGAGTCAATTATTTTGACCATGAAGCGCATAAGACAACTAAAATTCTCACTCCATTTTTTCTCTTCCTTCCTTAAATTTCTAGTGTCTATTTTGGAGGCCTGAGAAAGTAGAAACTGAGTGTATATATACGTATACAAGCCTACATAAATAAAGATACACATATAAAACCTCCCAGCTTTGGTCCCCTTCCTCCCAGTCCTGAATTTTTAAGGGAGAAAATAAAAAGTTCAAGACTTTAGAATTGGCAAGCATCTGAGGTATTTGCTACCTTAAAAATCTGTTTATGCAAGAGTGAATCTCAATGGACAGTCAATCAAGTTAGAGCCTCACTCATAGCTGATTTTGACACCAAAACTCCTTACCCATTTGTTGTTTTGTACCATTGAGTGCAACCCACTCTGAGCTGACCCTCCAATGGGTTTCTATAGGCTGTAAATGGCACAGAAGTTGACTAGCCATCTTTCTTCTGTGGATTCAAATTGTGTACCTCTGGATAGGCAGTGCAACTCCTTACCACTAAGCCACTGTTGTTGTCGTTGTTTTCTGACGTCAAGTCGAGCATGACTCACAGCAACCCTATGAACAAAAGGCCTGAAGCCTTTCTGTAACTATTGTCATTTATCAAAGTTCATAGTTTCCAGAGGCATGTTGTTTAGGAAGTGAATGCCAATCCTGCTTCCAAAAGGTATGCATATTCAATATTATTTGCCAACACAATTCAAAGATATAAATTCTTTGTTCTTTTTTTCTACTATCCAGCTTCCATATCCACTATCCACCCACTATCCATATATATGTGGACCAACCAATAAGACTAGGCCACAAGAACTCCCAATATAAATGTGTCAATGACATTGGTTTATCAGTTGTAACAAACATATGCCACTAAATAGCAGGGGTAACCTGGGAGGCAGGTATAGTCTGAGAATGCTGTTTTCTGCTTAATTTTCCTGTAAATGAAAAACTGTTCTGAAAAAGAAGTATTAATTTTAGAACAAGTCCAAAAACTACCAACTAATGTTCAATTACAAATCATTCAGTATGGTTACCTCCTTATTTATAAAGATGATCAAATTGTTATGATTTCCAGAAGTACTGAGGTATTTTACTAAGAATTTGATAAAGTACTAAATTAATGAAGCTGCTTCACTTCACACACACTACATCACACAGGAATAAGACACTGGATTTAGAGTTCAGTAAGATGTGACATAACACAAAGTAGACAGTAGCAAGAGCTGCAAATCAAAACAACTATGAGATATCATCTCACTCCAGTAAGAATAGCAAAATTTAACAGAACTGCAAGCAACAAATGCTGGCGAGGTTGCGGAGAAATAGGAACCCTTATTCACCGTTGGTGGGAGTATAAAATGGTGCAACCCCTGTGGAAAGTGGTATGGCTCTTTCTCAAAAAGTTGCAAATAGAGATACCATTTGACCCCGCAATACCACTACTGGGAATATACCCTAAAGAGACAATAACAGCTACCCAAGCAGATATATGCACACCCATGTTTATCTCAGCTTTGTTCACAATAGCAAGGACCTGGAAACAACCTAAGTGCCTATCAACAAATGAATGGATAGAGAAGCTGTGGTATATTCACACAATGGAATACTATGCTGCATTGGAAAACAAGGAACTCATGCAATATTATTCAAAATGGGTGACCCTGGAGGACATTATGCTGAGTGAAATATCTCAGTCACAAAAGGACAAATACTGCATGGTGCCACTGTTGTAGAAAGTGACTGACATCAGGGTTGGGGTAAGACTGAGGAAAACTGGATAGATTATATATACTGAATTGAAACAGATGAAGGAGAAAACAGTTTAAAAGTGATACATGATAGCATATTATGATTATCACAGGAATTCAGAATTAAGGTTGCATAGTGGAGCTCTGGTGGCCTAGTGGCAAGGAGCTGCACCTACAATCCCAGAGGCACACGGTTCGAATCCACCAGATGCTCTGCTGGGAAAAGGAGGGACAATCTCCTTCTGTACCAGTCAGATCTGATTTGACGGTACACTCACACACAGAATTAAGGTTGCATAGTGGAGTGCATTTGGGGTGGGGGGGCAGCATCCGGGCCAGGGGGGATTGTACACCAACGAAGAAGTTTATCTTTTGCTTTTCAAAGAGAGGAGTGAACTGGGGGGAGGGGGATAAAGAAAAAAGTGCAACAATGAATGAATGAAAATCCAAAATCTCTGTAAATGTTCATTAAAATTAATAAAATAAAATTTTTATAAAATTGTAGAAAACAAATCTAAGGTTTAAACTGTAATAAAATTTTGAAGGATCGCTCAAAGATATTCTCTGTCAACAAACTACCTTAAATTCCGTGTGCCATGGAAAAATTCCAAGGTCATACTTTAGTCAATACTTAATTAAAAAAAAAAAATCCACAGAACTACTGTTGGAGTCTCATGTACACATGCCATTTACAAACCTGGTCTCATTTTTCATCATCACCAATATCAACCACCAGACTATAGCTAACATGACAGATATATCATCCAAAATGGTCTTCAAAAAAATACTCAGATTGGTTACTGTCAAGTTGGAACTGACTCATAGCTGAACCTCCAGTTGCCTGTAAGAGGTGGTCAGTTGCACAGGAGGACATGGCCCATGGATCTCCCATGGAGCAGCTGGTGCATTAGGACTGCCTGCCTTTGTGTTGGCAAGGAACTCTTTACCCAGTAGGCTACCAGAGCTCCTTAAAATGGTCAGAAGGGTCTGTATAATTTTTTGCATAGGAATCAGAATATAAATAAAGAAAAATTGATTTTTTAATGTTAATTTAAACCCAACCCAACTCAACCCAATCCACCCTACTGCTATTGACTTGATTCCAACGCATAAGAACCCTCCATCAGGTTTTCAAGGGAAGGACAGCCTTTCTCCTTTGAAGAGGCTGCTAGATTTAAACCGCTTACCTCTCAGTTAGCAGCCCAAGACATAATCCACTCGGCCCCAGGGCTCCTTAAAGCCAATTTAGGAGCCACAAACATGCTAAAATTTGAAATTCAATTGTTACTAAGTGTGACCCCATAGGTGTCTGCAATTTCAAGAGAAACATCAGTTCAACAAAGTCAAAGGCCCTTGAGGATGGGAGGGTGCTCATTCATTCTAATTTTTAATATAAAAATCTCACGCACATCATCAGAGCTGATTTGGCTCAAGGTATTTTGACAAATGATGTGGTTGAGGCTTCTTGGTTATAGAAAAAATAAACACCATTCTTTTGGGGTTTTTTTCCTTCCAAGAGTACACCAGCCAGGCAATATGCATTTGAGAGAACCTGCACTTGCTCCTGTTAGGACCAGGACCTGGGGGCCATGCCTGCGTGGGCCTGAAAGCTCCCAGGAATTAAGGACTTCTGGCTACAGGAGGAGCAGGTGGTGAACCAGGTTTAAGCTAATAGCTAGATGGAGAAGTTGTCGTGTCAAGTGTTTACAAGTAGATATGTTAGCTGCTTTGCTTTACCTGCAAATCAAAGTGTCCACTATGCCCACCGAGGGCATAAATGGGGACCCACTGGTCCCCAAAGACACATAGTTTGAATCTACCAAATTCCTCCATGAAAGAAAGATGGGCAATCTTCTCTGTGATTTTCAGTCTCTGAAAATCCATTAGATGGTCGGCTATGAGTTGGTTCCAACTCGAAGGCACATAACAAACAACAGAAACAACAACAACAATTAGCTGGGAAGAGGGCTTGTGGCAAGAAACCAGGTAATAGTAAAATAAAGAACAAGATGAAAGCACGTTATTCCCTAATCAAAACGTCTTCCAAATGCTTTTCCCTCCCCTAAAAATGACCTAGAATCAATCCCTGTAGCATATTTTCAACTACTACAGAGGCAACAGTAGATTTTTAAAGAAGCACAAAAGAGAAGGAATGTGTGATATTTTGCAATATTGACCACACACACACACACACACACACACACACACACACACACACACACACACACACACACTGGTTTAAGTTACCCATTATGCTGGTTTCCAGGCAACTGAAAATACAGTCTATCGCATAGGCACACTTGGAAGATAATAAAGACGTCTGATGGTAGCAATGTTTCCGTAGCTGTTCCTGCTGAATATTAAACACGAGAAGGAACTGGGAGCTGCAATTTCAGGGTGGTCACCAGATAAAGCTGCCCGGTGGTGTTAAGCTGACAAATAGTGCTGGGTAACTTGAGAGTTTCAGACCCGTAACCTTAGCAAGCCTCTGTCCCTGCCGTATCTACCCTACTCGCAGTTAAACGATTCCACACCGCTCCACACGTATATTATCAATTCAAAAACAACTTTTCACTTTACAATGATAGCCACAGACAATGAGTGGCTGTATTTGCCACTAGGACATGGCTTTTATTACCCAGAGTTTTATGTTTCTACAAAACAAAGATGACAAGGCAAGGGAGGGGAAGGCATAATGCTTTGACGCTGACTTTTAAAAAATTACATTTTATTTTGTTTTATTCACCTGAACCTCCAAATCTACTCCCCCTGTGGAAGAATTAAAAAGAAAAACAAAAAGAAAT